AGGGAAAGGCAGACCACTGTGGCTTGATTGGAGGGTAGCATGGGGTCCCTGCAGACAGTGGGAGTTCAGGGCTGCTGGAAGTACAAAGGAAGAACGGAGACCTGCAAACAAAGCTGCTGAGAGGACTGAGTAGGACATGGGAGAGGGGTGGGAGAGGCCATGTGTAGGTCTGGGGTCAAGGGCAGGTGAGACTATAGAGTGGATTAGGAGCAGCTAAGGCTCTTAGGCAGGAGGACTGGAAATTTGAGAGCTTTGGAGAGAAGAATTATAACATCATAAAATAATTTAGGATGAGAGTGGTGGGAGCTAGGTTTCTGGGGAGATGATCCTGGGTCTGTGGGAGGTGTCAGAGGTTTCTGGGACACTAGAGTTGATATGTGAGGACCCCAGGACTGGAAGGGGTTAGAAAAGCAAGACTTACAGCGTGCAGTGCTCACAAAGTAATTTGTTTGCTACCTCAATTATGGCAACCCTAAAGCCATGCAGAAATGCTTTATCTCTGGAATTTAGGATATTCATCTTGCACACACCCCAACACTTGCAGCTCCCTTTATTACCCACTGTGGAGGTATAACAAGTAACAGAAACCATGAGCTAGTGGGATTTAGCAAGCAGTTTGTGTCTTTCTTCTTCGAAAGCTATTTTCCCAAGACTACTCTTGCAACTATTTTGAGGAGGAAACATCTGTGTTTCTGGCATAGAAGTGAATTATCATGTCTTCTGCTCCTCCATGTGCTGCTTTTCGATTGATTAACTGGCACAGCCGATCCTCAGTCGCAGGCAGCACATCAGATTGCCTGAGACAGTAGCTTTGTGTTGGCCCTGGGTTTTAGTCTCTCCATTCATCTGCTGTTACTTCACGTATCCCTCACTGCATTTAGGATCTTTGGGCTTGAAACAGTGTCTGTCATACTAGAAATACTACAGCAGCTCCACTGACATTATGGGAACTGGTTCAAATTTACATTGATGTGAGAGCAGAAGTAATGTATAGCTTCAGTTTTCCACCCAGGACTAGTATGTGTATGTTTTTCGATACAAAACAGCAGCAAATGTAGCAATAATACTAATGAATAGCAGGGAAGTACACATGTTCTGCAGCTTCACTGCTTACGCTGAAGTCAGGTTTCCATTCCAAGATTTTGTTCTCAGTTATCCTCCACGGAGCATATGCTTATAAATCATGAGGCTTTTATTCTTTTTGTTGCTTTACTTTAGGTTGGGGATGGGAACCCCCTAAGGCTTTGGAAAGCCTCAGTGGAAGTTGAAGCTCCCCCGTCAGTTGTCCTGAACCGAGTGCTGAGAGAACGCCACATTTGGGACGAGGACTTCTTGCAGTGGAAGATTGTCGAGAGCCTGGACAAGCAGACAGAAGTTTACCAGTACGTTTTGAACAGCATGGCTCCTCATCCCGTCCGAGATTTTGTTGTTCTAAGGTAAGCTGAAGGCACTTCTCCAGTATTTTAGCTTCCTGTAGTGTGTATAAGAAAGATCTGTTCTTATCTCATTTCAGCCTTAGCATCCTTATAATTGTACTTAGAAAACTCTACTTCTGGGCTGCAGTGTTTATTTCTCAAACTGAATTAAAATTGTACACCTAGAGCATGCTGACCTTTTCTCTGATGTAATTTGAGCAGCGCATACTCCTGAGGCCATAAATATCATTTATTCCTTAGAACAGATGTCTGATAATAGCTGCTGTTCTCTTAGCTTTGTTTGTTGTCAAAACAGTGCAAATAGAACCCAATTGTTTTTTACCCTGCTTTTGCCGTTCTCTGGGGAATGTTTGATGTTTAAGAGCCAAATGTTTAGTAGAAAAGATGGTGATGTTTTTAAGCCAAGGTTGTTATGTGGTCACTATATAAGTCATTATATAAGATTTGCAGTCAGAGTATTTCTAGAGCAAGGAATGCTAAATGTTCTTGCTAACATAAAAATCCTACTGTGGAAATGAAGAGAAAGAGGTAATAGATATGCATTCTGACTGTCTTCCCAGGGATGAGACCTTGCAAATAAATGTGAAGCTGTAGTTTGACATTCCAGATGCAGTCCCAGCTCTGCCGTTGTCTATGTGCCCATACAGAACGGACAAAGACGACTCCTCTTATGTACATCCTGCCTTTGAAACCCTGGCCTTTCGCTTGCTAGGAGCAATAGTGGATGGAGTTGCTGACATATTTCACTTACGATGGAGCCAATCCTATAGCTATTTATTTCAGGATGGTTTTGTGCATTTCCATTCTTGGTGTCTACTTTCTTTGATTGAAAAGATGCACCAGACAAATAATAAGCAGTTTTGACAAAGGAAGTAGTCCAGTGAGTCAGAATTGTATTAGAGGGAGCAAAGATTGAAAGTAAAAGATGAGCCCAGTAAAATATAATAGTAAATACCTCTTATGAACTTCGGTTTTCTCTTATAGAATAATAACATGCAGACATTGTTGGAATAAGAATTATTCCAATTGAGGAAGAGTTTTTAAATATTTCTGCAAGTTCCTTATAATAGGAAAACACTAATCCTCACATTACACTATTTTCTTTGCCTGTCCGCAGTATACTGGGCTAAATTAATTTATTTTATAATCATTTTCTCATATGATAGTATTGATTTGCAACAGTGATAAATTTGGCGCTCTGCACAGCACCAAGAAGATTGTCTGGGAGCAGTGGGAGGGTTCTGACGACCATAATTCTGCCTTCTTATCTGGCACTTAATTCACTCTTACGTTTCATGGTATTTTATGTTCTTTAAAGACCCACTGTGCAATCACATCAGTTGAAGAAAAATCTTGCTGTCAAGTTCTCATTCTTTTCACTAACCCAGATAGAATGACCGCCAAGGACTGAAATATATATCGTAAAACAGAATCCTGGTGGGTTTTTAAGGCCTGAAAACAGCCATCAGGTAAATCTGTCAGTTCCTGTTGTTTATCTCTCTTAATTTATATCATTAAGTCTAGAGCAAGGTTAGCCAGTGATATTGCACTCATTTTGATACGTTATTATTGGTGGGAACTGAACAGTGAAATTATTATTCGCCTCTGGGAATATGAATAAATATATTTTATCAGACGGCAATTTTTCTCCTCCTAATCTAACTGTTGGCTGTGAAATACACGCTCCTGGTTGTTCTTTCTTCTAAACGAGCCATCCTAGCAAGGAGACTGAAATCCCTTGAGGAGACTAGAAGGGTGAGAGGGCAGGGGAGGGCCCTGTTTCATCTGCCTAGGACCTGGAGCAGTTCACAGCTGCCCTGCAGGTGCATCACTTTTCATGAAAGATTCCTTGAGCATTTAATGTTAAGTACCATAGCATCACTGTCATGCCCCTTTTTACTACTGTGTGATATTTAGAGAAGTAAAATAACTGGTCTAAATCCACATAACCAGGAATAGGAATGCTAAGTAAGTCTCCTGCAGTCTCTGATACAGATAGTTTTCCACTTCAGAAATGAGCCAAGTAAGTGCCACCTCGTTACCAAAGTGATAGTCGTAGTGAAGCACAGAAGACAGTCCCTGGACAGTTAGTGGCTCAGCAGTTCATAGTATGTCCGAGGCATGATTTCCTACCAACCTTTGAGCTCGCTGTCCGTGTGTTTCATCTCTGAAGATAGCTCATCATTTTAATTAATGCACATACACACGCAAAACATTCTGAAATTGGTATCTTTCTATATGTTCTTGACTAGCAGCTGTACACAAGTAATAACTGCAACCCTGAATTTCGTATCCAAAATATGGAACTTTTAAATATCCGCTGAAGTTCAAATTTCAACAGTCCTTGAAAGCAACTTACCTGCCAAAGCATGATACTTTCCAAAGTAGCATAGTCCCTGTGTCAGGCAATCCTCAGAAAGATGATGCACATTGTCTTACAGTGGGGATTTATCATAGACTATCCTGTGAGATTCAAACCCAGCGTTATGCCCAGTAGTCTGCCAAACAGGAAACATGCAACATGCTACAAATTCAAGGCAGACAAGAAAGACTAGAATATGTGGAAAATGCTAATAGAACAAGAAAAAAATGCTGATTGTAGGTCTCTTGAACCTGATAAAAAACTTCTGCAGGATATCAGAGAGACTAGAAACTCGGGATAGGAAGAATAAAAATATATCTTAACAGGCCAGTCCAAAACCTGACTGCTTGTGAAAGGAAACATCTTGTCAATAAGAAAACAACTACCTGTCACTGGCTAACTGACAAATATGGTGACATGCTCCTGAAATTTCAGATATACAGTTGTGCAATGCTGGTGAGAGATGATGTGGTTCTGTGCTCCAGAAAACTCCACTCTTCCTCCTCTAAGGGAAAAAAACATAAAACATGCATCCTATAGCAGAAGAGACAGAAAAGCCCATGATTATGTTAGAATGGCATGCAAAAGCATGTGGATTCTTGCTACGTAGAATCTGAAGGGAGGAGACCCTCTCTGAACAGCTGCCTCTTCTAGCGTGCCAGGGAGGAGTGAAACATACGGACAACTGATGGCTTTGTGCGTGCCTGGACCAGTCCTTGTAGGACAGCTAGCAAGGAAGTTGGTTCAGATATTTACTTTATAGCAAACCAAAGCCCACCTTAAGAAAGCAGGCCTCAACTACAGTATCATTCCTGAAGGAGTGAGCATGAAGTTTAGCCTTTGGCTACGGCAAAAAACAAATTCTTTAAGACTGCATTTTACCATTGCTACCTGGAGCGTGTGGTGACAAACAACTATCGCATAATTTCCACCAGCCGTCTGAAGAGACTGTCAGCAGCTGTGTGTCAGTGGATATTAGCAGCAGAACATCCTATTCAAATGTACTGCAATTATACTTATCGTCACCAAGAGTATTGTAAGCTAATGTTGATTAAATAAATGCTTGTCATGAAAGGACACTTTTTTTTTTTAATTCAAATGCCCTTGCAACATGGTTTGGGAGTTTCAGGAGTCAGTGTTGGTAGTAACGAGGATTTTTGCTGCCCTGAACTTTATTTGCTGCTCTGATACATACTACATAGGTATAATGCAACATTTCAGCCCTTGCTGGATGGCTAGCACTCGCTTTACATCCTTTCCAGACTTTCTGGAAATAGGTCATTTCCACCCCAGAAGGCTTACAATGTTGCTGGAGTGGTGTTGTATTCCAGCCACTACTGCACTACATGCCCTATGAAATCGTAGGCCTCTACTGACCAAACTTGTTTGAAAATAGAGTTAATTTACATTTAGCAGCAAAAGTGATGCATGGGCAGAGCGATTTCTTGCCTGTCTGCAAAAGGCTGCATCATGTCCTCTAATGCATGGTGATTACAAAGTGGTTTGAGGGGGAGAAGCAAAACTTCTCCACCTGCAGCCAGCGGCACAGCAGATGAGCAGCCTTCCCACATAGTGGTCAGATCCCCAGGTGAGGTGAGGGGGTATCAGCATCAGGTGGGTTTGGGGGTGAAAACTGCAACTCTCGTTCAGGAAAATAACATACATAGCAAGAGCTGTCCCGGAGCCATTTCTGAAGGTCTGAGCTCCCGGGGCTGTTCTGGGCATGGATTTGTCCCCCCCATAGGAGTGTATCCCAACCTCTGAGCACTTCTTGAAATGATAGCCCACTGTTTAGGTTAGTGCATTTACAGGAGGGAGTCTAGCTCTGCAAACCAAGGTTGGTAAGTTTCTGTTGCCTGTTTCAAGCAATAGTCCCAGCCACTTTGGGACAGAAGACTCCTCCAGGGACTCCTAGAACAGTCCAGGAACATCACAGGAAACAATGCCATAGAAAAAAATCAGTTAATTTCCCTCTGAAAAATAATAGATTTCCCTTGCTTTCTATTTCTTGTGGGGGGCTGTTCCAGGGTTTCATGGCTATATACCTCAGCCAGCTGCCAGCCTACAGTCTTGTCCAGTATATACCATGGTCTTGTGTCAACACTGTATTTTAATTTAAAATAAGTCCCTTCACCCACTTTTGTCTTTTCCCCTTCTTGTATTCATAGGTAATATTCTCTCATCAGCCACCTGACATGTGGCCTTCTGGCTTTACAGTGATAAGCAAACCAGCAAACTGCAACTTTGGTTCGGGTTCTTTGTTACTCAAGTAGCCAAAAGAGTCTAATTATTAAAGAGATTCTGTCTTGAATGTGTCGCTGCAGGACATGGAGGACTGATTTGCCAAAAGGGATGTGTATGCTGGTGGCCATCTCTGTGGAGCATGAAGAGGCCCCTCTCATGGGAGGTGTGCGAGCCATTGTGATGGACTCCCAGTACCTAATCGAGCCATGTGGCTCAGGAAAAGCCAGGCTGACCCATATCTGCAGAATTGACCTAAAGTAAGTGTCCCACCTGCAGAAAGCAAAAATCTCCAGCTCAGGGAGGGGAGGTGTTGGGAACAGCGGACACGCTTAATGTAGCTTTACTGCTTTGGAGGGAGATTTTCTGCAGTCTTTCTATCTATCATGCTCATATCCGCCAGACTCTATTCAGCGGCCTCCACTGTTAAGACGATGTGGTCATAGAAATAAAATCTAGTTATTTGATTTCTGCAAAGGCAAACTTCAGAGTATGCTTACAATGCCAAGTATTCCAAGTTCCCAACGCCACCATGGGCAGAAAGGGATAGGAGGCATGGCAGGCCCATTCCTGTGGATCGTATTTCTTGGGTGTTTGGGTTTCTCAACAATCGTGTCTTTTCATTTCTTCAGAGGACATTCCCCAGAGTGGTACAACAAAGGCTTTGGACATCTGTGTGCAGCAGAAGTTGCCAGGATCAGGAACTCATTTCAGCCCCTGATTGCCGAGGGACCAGAAACGAAAATCTGAGGAAGTGTTCCTGGAAGTGTGTGAGCATAAATCAGGGTATGGCAGAGTAGAAAGACTGAAAGCAAAGACCTTATTTAAGTTACTTGCAATAGAAATCTAACTAGATCTGGGTCTGTACAAAGGTGAAACAGGAATTTTATAGGAAAGTTATTTTATTCTGGAAACTTCACCTCCCCCCCCACAGCCTTTCCACATTAATTTCAATCAAACATTTTTCAAAGAGATTTTATCGTTATTACTTTAAAATTAGACTATTACCATTACTTGTGTGTTACATAACTCTGGTATTTAAAGGCTTCTAAGAAGCATATTTTAATTGTAAATAAATTATGTACAGTATGTATATATTATATATATATTATAGCTATATATATATATATGTATATGTATAAATTAATTATTTTGTATATAACTCAGTGCTATGTAGAAGAAGTCACCTGCATCAGTTGGACCTTAAAAGACTCCGTCACTTGTTTCTTAGTGTGTCACTGCTACATAAGCTGTGTTTGCTATTATCACAGGGCTACCAGACAAAATCCATGTGATAACAGAAACGCCTGTGTTTAAATTTGTTTGTGTTTGTGTATGCTACAAGGTACCTGGAAATAGATGTAGGAGGAATGAAAGGAGCTAAGGAGGAGAGTGGTTATTGTATGTCTAAAAATAATGAGGAGTGGATCAGTATGACCAAATAAAATACGTGGAAATGTAACTGAGGTAGACGTTTTGAAGGCCGTTTATATTCAGCTGCAGAAGGTTTGTGACTGTTAATACAAGGTGATAAAAGCTTACCTATTGCCTTAATTAATGATATATTTGCCACTAGAGAACCTCACCGTCTGCAGTGTTCAAAATAACAGCTCATTCTTAGCAAATACAAGATAACTCTGTGTGTACCGAGGTGACCTCAGGTGACCTCACTATCTGAAGTTAAACTGGTAAGTTATTAAGCTGTAAACCTTTTGCTTAGTGTTTTATCCAGTAAGTGGTTCTGTGTTGTTCTTTCCTTCTTCCATAGGAATGGCTAATTATTAAGAAACTCCAAAGCAGATTTTCCACATCCAGTGACCACAAAGATGTGCAGATAAATGCCATGCCTTTTTTATACTCTTACTATAAAAATAACTAAACTTTTTAAAGCTTTTAAATACATCTCAGAGATTTTAAATATTGAATGCAGATTATGCTTGGGAAGATCACTTTTATGATAACAGCAAGCATTTTCATGTTATATTGCACTGATCTGCATGATCCTGCCTCTGATGGCATTGGCGGGAGCAGGATCAGCCCCTGACTATGAGGAGTAAGAGCCATTTAAGCCCACTACATCATTTCATTTTCAGAGACCTATTATTTGCTAATGGAAGAATGCTTTAAAAGTAATAATAATCATTTATTGACCTTACCTTCGAGACAAGGTTCCGTTTTGTTCTTAACTAACCTAAGACCAAAAATGGAATTATATCTATGAGTCAATAAGAATGTACAAGTCTATCAATACTGTTCTTCATTAATTGCATTTGTTCACTTTGACATTATTTATTGCTGTATAAACCAACTGAGTCATTCACAGCCAGGGTTTTAGTTCAATCCTCTCAACAAAACCCACTGCGATTTAGGATGAGGTCAATTAAGTGAGGTGCCTTTGCTACGTGAAGCTGCAGAGTTTTGTGACCTGAGAGTGCAAAGTGCGAGAGCTGGCGTGGTACCCTGTGCCACGGGAACCCTGCCCGCGGGAGCAGGGAGCGCACGGGAGCCGGCAGGGGACCTGGGCAGGGTCGCCCAGGGCTATCCTGCCTTGGAGCAGTAGTACCCTGGGAAGTCCCCATCTCCTCTCCCCTGTGAGCTGCCCCTCTCTTTCACTCCATCTTGCCCATATTTTGCTCTTTGACTCGTAGGATGTAGGAGGTTGGGTGCCCGAGAGCTGTGTTTGCAGCCAGCAATGTGCAAACAGTGCATGTTTTTAAGTATTAGCGATGGGTGAGCATTGGTGTACCTGCACGCCCAGAAGGTCCAGGTGCTCCCCAGGTGGCACGGCTGCCAGCCAGCCCCTGGGCATCCATGCTGCCCACCTCAGGCAGGATTCAAGGTGCATGAGCTAGCGGGGCCAGGGCAGCACTCTGCCAGCAGCTGCCAGCGCCCCAGCGATCTCCAGAAATCAGCACCTCCTCCCCTCAGCACCCGTAGCCATGGCAGCAGGTTTCACTCAGAAAAAGGATGAGCAGGCTGTTTCCTAAAACAGGAGCAATTAGAGCCCTTCTGCTACATTACTTTGCATAAATGAATACAATAGTGCCTCAGGATTAATGGACACAGCATTTCAGGCACTGGAAATAGCAATTGCCTGACACTCAATAATTACTTAAAGAAAGGAAGGGAAAACCTCGGCAGCGGTTTTATCCTGCCTGACTCAGCTGGACGGGACCCTGTGCCACCTGCCACGGTTAGCAAGGTAGGTTTGCCTTCCTAATGTTGCCAAATCTTTGTCATGTACTTCCAGCAGCTCTAAGCCATGTATTAACGAAATACTTTTCCTCTACAATGTACCTTATGCCATGTCTACCTTTCAGCTACCACAGTATTTTGTATTGTTACATTGCCATTGAGAATACATTATGATACTTACATTTTTAAATGTTATACTCATATCAATACCTCATATTTTTACCTCATCTGTTGGTATCAGTCATTAGTTGTAAATAAATAATTGCAGAGTTGAATAAATTTGCATACACTAAAGAATCACGTTTCCTTTATGTGTTCATTTCATCTGTTGGCACAAAAAAACAAACATGGTACATCTGAGCCCTTGCTTTTTTATTACAGCCTGCTGTATGCCAAGCTGTTCCAATATGGAACTTTAAAAATAACTTAGGCTCAAAGTGATGCATTGTTGTCTATTAGGCTTATCCTATATTTTCCCTAAGTATACAAGAGCTTCTTGGCAAATACATGTGAGGCAAATACATACAAAGAAGCCAATAAGTTAGGATGGTCGACCTGAGAAAGGTAAACTCAAGTCTTCAGCAGTATTTAGAAACAATAATATAAGTCTGGATGTACAAGAGTGACCTTCAAGTTGTGGTGCAGATGTTTGGGTTCACTTCATCTAAAGTTAGCTATCCCAAACCCGTAAAGGCACTGCAGAAGAGAAAAAGACACAACAACAGGATAGTGGTTTCTGTGGTCTGTCTTACACATATCTACAGATTAAATGACTTCCCCTTTGAAATATCAAAAGAGGAGATGTCTCAGAAAACAGGATACGGAGCAGGGAGCCAACTATTAGCTACTGCCAGGGAGAGAATAAGCCTTTTTATCCCACCGTTCAGGGAAAACTAATTATTTAACTTTGGACTGAAAGGAAGCGCTTTTTTCCAATTCTCTGCCACAGCAGAGATAAACACGTAAGTCCTTTCTTTCTTACAAGGTAGTATGTGATGTGCTCTTACTCTCATCTCTCCCTCCAATGCACCTTCAGCGATCTCAGGGCAAATAGACTGTCCTAACACTAACGGCACTGACGTTCCCACTCTTAGCATGTGCAGTCTTCATAATGTTGAATTCTTGGGCACCCATCCACTTTGTAACCCCTAGCAGGCATCACAAACAAGGCATCCCGCTGTCTGATGCGGTTGCTCCACTGAATCAGCCTCAGCCTTTGAGGATCTTGGCATCCCTAAGAGAGGTTGTTCTTAGAAACGGCAGGTAGCTGTTAGACAAGAGTACAAGATGTATGCATTGAAACGACTGTGAGATGAAAATATTGAAAGAAATATACAAAAGACTGCTGGAGCCTGCAAATCAAATAGGAGAGATTGAAAAATTGTATTATCACTTCAGCTCAACAGTGACAAGGAAGAGCTGGTGAACAAATATAGATCTTGCCAGATATCATAACAGAAAGCAGGGTTTATATGGCATGAAAGACCCACAGCCCCATGGGGATTCAGCATGTCCATGTCATGCTCTCCTCGCCAGATGGGCTGCACAAGGGCTTCATTTAGGTGACCGCTAGAGCAAGCGGATCATATTGTTACACCTCCAATTGCACCAGGACCAGAAATATGGGGCATCGGATCCCAGATTCAGAATAAGGTGGGTGTTTGGACTTTGCTAAAATGTACAATTTAAACTGGGACAATGTAGTCCCAGTACTCTCAACATCATGGGTTACTCAGATATAGTATACAGATAGCAAAGACTTTTCCACAAAGAAGTGATGGATGCAAAGCAGATCCATAAGCAGCACCATGCAACTCTAGTCTGTCCTGCTTCAATGTGGATAAACTCAGCTCAGCAAATGTATAAATACGTAGAACTAAGGGACTAACACCAAACTGAACAATGTATCTGGGTTAATGAGTAAACAACCGGAAAAATACAAAGACATTGCCGATAACTGTGTCTATCTTTAATAGGCTGATGTTGGGGAAGATTACGCACACTCCTAGATATACTTCCTAATCCATGAAAAGATATTAGTAACAACAGATGATGTTTCATCTTGGACACTTATAATGCGAGGGGGAACACGCTGAATTTGCGGTTTACAGTGGAAAGAAGCTAGAAAATGAGGTTAGGCCAGATGCCATCTAGACTCCGTGGTGAAATGAGAAGAAGATTTGCTGAACTGAAAGGGAACCCGAGCTCCAGAGACTCTTTATGCCTCTGATTAAGGCTGGCATCTTTTGCGTAAACAGTAACCTGGATGCTTATCTCTTTCCATCCCCTCTGACCCTGAAACTGGAGTCTGTATCCCCTCCCCTACTACTGACCTGCCACAGGTGGCTGTTATCCACTGCACTCTGCCACTGTCTAAGCCCAGATCTTGTGCTCAACATGCCCTCTCCCCCTCTCAGTCCCAGCATGCCCCAAGACTGCACAGAGGTCCACAGGGTTCATAGTTCATGGTAGGGTGGTCATGGCCATGTAGTCAGTGGTCGCAGTCCTTGGCTACAAGATGGGGAAGTTGGGCATCCTCAGCCAGCCAGGGTTTGAATGCACGATGCACCAAGTGTCCTGCGCACTACGCTAGAGACAAAGCTCTGTGATGAGGAGCAATCGTCTCCATTTCTCTCCTGCAAGGAAGCAAGAATGCAAGAGCAGGAAAATAGCCAAGCGCACCATACACCACTGCACAGCGCTGATGCTCCTATCTCAGTCCGACCACCATGACAAGTCAGGGCCTCCAGTCCTTTGCCAAAGAGCGTATGTCCTGCAGGAAGTGGGGGCCTGGCGGCAGCTGCATTTTGAATGCAATGAACTACTCTTTACCTGAACTTTCTTGAGCAGAAACAGCTGTATGTGGCTTGTTGGCACCAATCTGCAAGCAGATAGGATGGTGCACAGGTTGTGATTGCCTTTCACCAAGAAAACCCTCGTTCCGCAGCAACAGCTTCTGCTCCAGCAAGCAACTGCCTTGCTAGGAAAGAGCAGCTCCATGGAGCTTCACAGACATGCCAGCTAGAGGATGAGGGCTTATTTTTTAATCAAAATATTCAATTCTGCAAATGGGCATTAGGGAAACTCATCCTAAAACTCAGACTCTGCTCTTTCTTCTTCAGCTGCTTGTAGCAGCTCAAACACAGGCACATTGCTGAAATACAGAGCTAGCACTTGCCACAGTGAGGCTTTGCAACAGCTTTCAATTTATGGGAGCAAATTAGCTGCGTGGCCATCTGTCCTTCACCAAACCATACTGATCCTACTCTGGAGTCTTGTTGGAACAACTCCTTTTTCTTGAGAGGATACATATCAAATTACTTTTTTTTTTTTAATTAAATAAGTGTGGGAACCACAGGTGGCAGACCAGACAACAGTAACCCTATCAGCAGCATCTGTTCACCAGCAGTAACCCCCTCCAGCATGTGCCTAACAGATGCTGGTTAGGTGCTTACGCACAGCCTGACACCCAGCGTCCGACCCGAGCAGGCAGCTGGGTGCTACTCAGCCCACCTAACCCCCTGCTGCACCTCCTGGGCTCCAGAGTGCCTTGTCTTCTGCTGCAGCACCACAGCTGGTTTGGCTTGAAAAGTGAAAAAAAAACAAAACAAAACAAAACAAAAAAATTCAGTGTTTTGTCATTTTGCTAGACCCATTACTTGGCTTAGAGAGATTTCAGATTTGCTTCAGGGCCTAGCTGAAAGCAAGGAGTTTGATTATAAACAGCCATATACCCTTCCCTGTATAACACTGTCAGCTTGTCACCAAACAAGGCCCGCAAGGAGCCCACCACCACTGTAAATGCAGACCTCTCCGGGTTTGAGGTGGCTGCAATCTTTTGCCAAGTGTTCACCTGCTCTGAGGGGACAGTTCTTCAGATGTAAGCCTATAAAGAGAAAGCACTAGCTTTTAGCCCTGTAGTCTGGCTTTCATTTCCCTAAAGAGTCACATCCCTTTTCTACAGGTCAAGGGAACAAAAGGACCATTGCAACCTGCACCCTTTTCTGGCCCAATAGCATTGTGCTCATCACACCTTTGCAACTTTGCTGAAGAGAAAAAGGACTGATTTGGGAAAACTTCCCTTTTCTTCAATAGCTGTATTTAGGGGCTCCCTGCTGAGCAGTGTGGAAAGACAAGCTCTGCTGTGGCTCTGCTGCTGCAGCCACAGCAGCTGCAGCCTCAGCAGCTATGCCCCCACGTGGGGTGATACCTACAGCTCATGGCATGGATCTTGCTGCGTATGATTTTCTGGCACTCTCAACGCAGCCTGTGTGTTGCACAGCCAAAAGCCAGATCCCACTGGCCATTCCTGGGTTTTCCACATTACCAATCACTCCCTCCCCTCTTTCTCACCCCCTCCTTCTCCTCACCCTTAGGTCCTGGTGCAGGACGGCCACCAAGTTGAACAGGGCTTAGGGTGTGGTCAAATCACGCCAGTGATCATTAGCAGGACCTGCTGGGCTGACCCAGCCTCATTGTTTGCCCTAAGGAAGAGGGACAACCTCTCACACCATCTACTTACCAAATACTTTGTTTAGTAAGTAGTATCTGCTTCTTAGGGGGTCTGGTATTTCTGCTTAGTCCCAGCAGGACTGATTTTTTTTTCCTCCTTTGCAAGACATGGACCGCTGCTGGTCCAGGCTTTAGTGTGATGGGTCTGAGAGCAGCAGGCTGAACAACCAACACACTCACGCACCCATTCACTGACTGATCGACCCACCAACCGACCCCCCGACCTCCTGGGTGAAGAAGTGTGCAGCTCAGGCTGTGCCCCATGCAGCCAGGCGCAAGGACAGACCTGGCTCAGGGGCGTCCCTGAGAAGCGAGGCTGCCAAAATGTACCTACTTGGGAAAATCTGATACAATGAAATAGGATGCAAACTTGCCTTGCTCAATGCTCTAATATTAAGGGCATCAGAGGACAGAGAAACAGTAATAGAGGCAGGTGGGGTTGTCCTTCAGTTGTCTTGTACGGTTCTCTCAGCCCTTGAAGAGGTGTCCAGACCTTTGTAACTAGCTGAAGAGTGACGCTCCTCTCACCACTGAAATCACCAGGATAGGCCTAGAAAAGTTTGTTGTTATTATCGATACGAATTAAAATAATTATTGCAAATAATAAAAAGTTAAACAGGTAGCACTGGGCTAAGCCAAAATGTTCCAATATGGCCTCCTTGGCCTCCAGTATTTTGTGCTGTGGGCAACCTTTTTCAGCCGTTGCTTGCATTTATCAGAAAAGAGATACAGTTATTGCTTTTGTTTTTTTTCAAATAATTGAGTAATTTAATCTTTTAAGTGCC